GCCCAACACGGGCGCCTACTAGAACGTTTCGCCGTCGCTGCCAGCGCCGCCAGCCCCTGCCGCCATGTTGTTTCCGCCCGCCAGGCAACCTCACACTTCCCTGAGGTCCCCCAGCGCAAATGATATCTTATTCTGTTCTGTCTGCTAGCCTGAGTTGAGTGACCCTAACCCAGCCTAGACATCTGGATCAATAGGTCAGTACCGCGTCACACTGTATCCCCATTGCGTTACCATATTCCCCCAGCGTAGCCAACACCATGTGAACCTCGCAGTCGAGCATCTCCTCAGGTCTTACAACCCGCTGGTGAACATAGGACTGGACCAATATATTGAGACTGTGTATAGCTATCAACGTGCTACACAAAGCGAGCAGTAGAGTCAGGTTCAGAAATTCTGCAAATCACTCGTCAAACCCAGGTTCATATGGTCAGTCACATGGACGATTGAGATCATACTGGCTTGTTGATGAGATTCACAGAGGACATTAGGCTACAGTGTAGCGTATGATGATGCCGCGTTGGGCTCACCCCTACTCCTCATCATCATCAACATTGTGTTCCTCCTCCTTGAGCAGGCGGTTGGCCTCGAGCAGGCGGTCGGAAGGCTGGACATCCAAAGCAGAGATGATGGTCAGTCAAAGAGACAATCAAGAACAACAGGGAAACAATAAAAGACAAGTTCAATCAGACTCACAGATCTCCTTTGCCAGTTCCTTGACTTCCTCAGCTTTGAACGTCTCAAGGAGGAGCGCCTCAAATACGGCGTGATGTTTGAAAGCATTTTGGCTTTTGGGACCGTGTTGGGGTTGAACTCCTTGCAACCATTGTTGCGGTTGGATGCGGAAAAGAAAAGGATGTCAAAGTCGAATTTTGTTTGAGCTTGCTTAATACGCACGCGCATGCGCACAAGTCCACATGACCATAGCACATCCTACATATGTCCTACATGGCGAAGCTATACTGCAACTTGTTGAGTGCACAGTCCCCTTCTCGAATCCATCTCTTCTCACAACACGACTACCATCGTCTCTATAAGCAATGCGGTCCAAGTCTGGTCTCAAGCTTGACTTGACTCACTTCAGGGCAAGCATTTTCTTTGCGCTCCACAATGCCGGCGGCCAGATAGAGCATTACGGAAGGGAGGTAATCTTTGTTGTTGGCAGGCATGATGCTCATGTCGATTTAGATCTGGGTTTGGAATTCAAATGAAAGTGCTGTTGCACAATCCAAGGGAAGGGTTGTGTTTGGCCAAAGAGTTGAGGAACATGATAGTACAGAAGGCAAGAACAAAAGAGGTTCTGAGGTTGTGCATAGTCTTAATGAAGCTTGCTTGCTTGCTTCAGCTATTCCTTGAAGAGTCTAGTTGTGGAGCTTTAGGCATGCAAGGTAGTGCATTGGTAGTGATCCCTCAAAGCAAAGTGCCCAAGTGTGGCTTGAAGGCAATTCCTGGAATGTACACTAGTGATGACAAGGCCAGCAGCTCAGCCTGCTGCAGAAAAGCAGCCTACAGAGCGTAGCCAAGCACATATATGCAAGGAGTGCAGCACATGCAGGGACTCACAGAAGACGTGGTGCATGCTTTGTGTGCATTGAAAGTAAGTCTGCATCTCAAGAGCAGCTCTCTGCTCAGACTTCTGAACATTGAGCTTTGACTGCATGGGACAGAGAAAACAAGGTGTTTGGCACCCTGTCATATGTCCTCCACCCTTGCAGCCTCCTCAAGGCACTCCTCCTCCAAGAGCTCCTCAAAAAATCCATAGCTGTGCCTGCTGCTGTATGAATGATCAGACAAACATAGTGGGAGCAAGCATTAGAATTGTGCTCGAAGAATCTAGCAGTCAGGCCCAGAAGCCTTGCGGATTACATGGATGGGCACATAGTCTTGCTTCCAGCCAGGCTGGCAGCGCTCTTGCACGGGCCGCAACCTAGCTGCTTCCTCTTGGTTGCTTGCGACCAGCGGCTGAACCTCTTCTATCTCTCCATCTTTATTTTCAGTACTCCTTCCATATCAACCTTGCAACTCATCTCTCAAAGGATCATTGGTCAAGATGGCCAGCGCATTTGGCCCAACCGAGGCCCTGAGGCAGGCGTCTCTAGAAATGCAAGAGCTGCGCAGCCTAGCCAGCATCCCACCCGCGCTCAGATCTCCTAGCAAGTCTGATCATATCTGCCACATCATGGATCTTGTGACTGTCTGTGCCCAAGGCTCGCTGACAGCAATCACAGCCTTGCGCACATCAAGGCAGCAATTGCAGACGAACAGCAAGACCAACGCGGACCTTCCAACTCATCTCTGCCAAGATCATTGCTCAAGATGGCTGACGCA